TTCAAGAGTGATCTATTGAGAGGATTTGTGGGGTTTACATTGTAAAGGGGTGAGATTTGAGAGAAACACCCTTATTCTTGTAAAAGGATTGAGTGGCTCCTTTAAGCCACCCTTGTTGTTGTTAGTGGAGAGTGTGGAGGAAATCCTTGGTGAGTAAAGCTAAGGTAGAGGACTAGACTCCAAGTGGTTGGACCGAACCTCTATAAAATCATTGTGCAAGCTCTTCTTCTCAACTCTCTCTTTAATTTTTTTGTGGTGGTTGCAAAGAGGCGAAAATTCTCCAACTCCAATTCACCCCCCCTCTTGGAGTGCATTGAGTCAACAATATTATAAATTTATAATATAATATATTGTTATATAATTAATTTTTTTTAATTTAAAAATTCATTTGTGATATTATATGTATTTACTTATCTGATATTATGTCATACTTATTTAATGTAATATCATATTTATTTAATATCACATTACAATTGTAAATTTAAAATATTACGTGGCATTTTAAAAAATTTGCAAGTTGAACAAAAATCTAACTTTGAAAACAGTTATCGTCTTGTCTCATCTTACCCTATTGTGTTATGTTGCGTTGGAGTCAAAAGTTAATTTGATATTTTGTTGTAATTATTTTTTAAAAATATTATTCTCTTTATTTAATTTTGGTTGTCGACGTTTGATTTTTTAATTTTTTAAATATAAATTTTAAATAAAAATTTAATAATATATATAAATAATTAAAATTTTTTATATGTAATTTTTGTTAAATATTTTTATTTGATAAAAAAATTAATTATCATTTATATAATATATTAAATTTAATAAAAAAATGAACAACACCTTAGTAATATATAATAATTAAAAGAAAATCACATATATAATTAACGGTTTATATCAGTTTAATAGTTTTACTTAATAAAAAATTATAAATTTTTATTTATATCACTCGAAAAACACAACTCCTTAAATTTAGTGTATGATTGTGACATCGGACGAGCTTTGAAGAGACCAGGGAGGGCTATGCGCCCCCTCCGCTTGAAAAGTTTTAAAGTTAGTCCCTAAATTTTATATTTTATGAATTTTGTCGTCAATTTTTGTTTTATTCACCTAATTATTCTTACTATATATGAAAATAATCATCATTAGTCCTTTTATATTTTTGTCATTAAATTCAAAATATAATGTTATCATAACAATTTGCGACAAATCTATTAAATATAAAACCTACCTTTTAATCTCTAATTTTTTTGTCCAAAAGATTACTAAAAAAATTTCTAAAGTTTTAACATTTCTTTGCCCTGTCTTTCCTCCCACTACTTAGATCATCACCTTTTTATATGCCTAAAACTAGTTTAAAATATTTATTTTAATAATCAAGATCTATTTTTTAGGTTAAAATATTACAACTTCACCTCTAACTCATAACATTTTACTAAGGTAAATTTGTTTTTTTAATTTTGTCATCTTCTATACTAATTTTTTTTTATATTTTTAAATTTATTACATACTATTTTTTATGTATTTTATTCAGTACTTTTTTTCATAAATATAACAAAATAATTATTTAGTAATAACAAAAAATTTCAAAGTACAATATATTTCATATTGAGCATAACCAAGTTTTATTTTAGGCAATTTTTAAATTTTACAACTATATATTACTCTCTTTGGTTCTTTTTAGTTATCTTATTTTATCAATTTTATGTTAAATAACTTGATTATTTATATAACAAATAAATAATAACTAAATTTTTGTAACCTAAATAAAAATATTTAACAAA